TTAATTTTCATAAAATACATTAATTCAACTATGGTAGGACATATGTATTTAAAAATGTATCCATTTATTTGGATTTGTTCAAACTTGTTAAGCTGTTAATTTTTCAAAAATAGTCCATAATCTGAATTTCAATGACATCTGTTGCAGTCTCTCTTCTTTGGTCCAATTCTGTTGATACACTTGTCTCTTTCTGTTGGGTCTTATTTTTTTTTTTTGGTTTAGGGGTTCTCAGTGTCCTTAATCTCCTCAAAGAATCAGTTCATTGGTCCTAGGAGTCACTCTTATAAAGTCTGTCATCAATTTATGCTCTGACCTTTATCATTTCTTCCCCCCTGCTCTGCTTGTTTGAGGTTTGTCTTCTTCTGGTTTGTTAGTTGTTGTTTCTGGTTCCGAAGCATGCATCACTGTGTTGCTTATTTGCCTCTCTTGCTGCGTCCTGCAGATTCTCGTGTCTCATTTTCTTTTGATCCTAGGACATTGCCGTTTCCTCGATTTCTTCAGTGAGCCACTAATCATTGCAAGGGCATTGCTCAAGCTTATATTTTTGTCAACTCTGTTTCTTCTCTTGCTTTTGAGGTCTAATTTTACTCCATTATGATCTGATGAGCTTTGAGCAATTATTTTGATTATTTTTCTTTGTAATGACTTGGCTTTTTGCCTAAAATATGTTCTATTTTGGGGAAAAGTTCTATGAGCTGCTGAAAAGAATGCATATACTGCAGTTTCAGACAGAACATTATGTGGATGTCTGTTGAGTTCATTTTAACTGTAGTATAATTTAGTGTGAAGTTTTTGTTAATTTCTTGGGACTGGGTGACCATTTGGTGAGAGCAGGATACTGCAAGAATCCATTGTTCTTACATCAGGACCTCTATGTTCATGGTTTCCCTCAGCGTTTGTTTTATGAAATTTGGTGTACAAATATTCTACATATAATATTCTCTATGGATATAATAAATATATAATAATTTATATATAACTTAACATATATAACAAATATATAGGAATATATACTAAAATCTGTACTCTGTCTTCTGTGTGTCTTGTTCCGTTTACCAACATGGAGCGACTTGACTTTCAGGCATTTATTCTGTTTTGTTACTTGAAATCTGCTTTATGAGACAGATATACATAGCTGTACCTGCTTTACCCGGGTTTCATTTATTTGGAATATAATTTTTTAACTTTTAAGTTTTAGACTGTATTTGATAGAGTACCATGTTTGTGTAGAGGTTGGAAATAGAAGGTTATTGAATTATAATTCCATTAGCCAGTCTAACTCTTCTATTTGGGGGATTAGGACCATTTAAATCCAGTACTATAATTAGGAGTGTACTAATTCTTGGCGTAGTTTAAAAAACTGATATTTAACTACCTCCTAATTAATTCTAATTTGCTTGTTTAGTCTTCTCATAGGACTTATGGTTTTCTTTGTTCTTAGTGTTGTATTCCCTTGCTCTGTTGTGTTAAGATTTTCTTTCCGGTACCATCTGCAATATGGGTGTGGTCATGAATTGCATTAGCTTATACTGGCCTTGGCTTCCTGTAGGGGATGCTGTAGTCATGCCTGTGTGGTCAGGGTGAAGTAGAGTGAGGGATGCTTGCATGTTGCATTGCTTTCGATTTCATCTTCGGCTTGCTGTACGGACTGCTGCCCCGCCAGCTGGCTGGGTCGCGCTGTAAGTAAGGCTTTCCCCTAATAAATTCCCTTGTGTTTTTACCTGGTTCCATATTGGTAATTTCCCACATTAGTTTCTTTCTATTCTGAAGGATTCTTGCTCTTGATATTGTTATCCGGGCTGCATATCTACCATCACCTGGTGTCTTAGTTAGGGTTCTATTGCTGTGGAGAGACACCATGACTGCGTCAACTCTCATAAAGGAAAGCATTTAAACGGGACTGGTTTACAGTTTCAGCAGTTTAGTCCATTATCGTCATGGCAGAACACGGTGGTGTGCAGGCACACGTGGTGCTGGAGGAGGAGCTGAGAGTTCTACGTGTTGGTCCTCAGGCAGCAGAAGGAGATTATGTAGCACACTGGGCATAGCTTGAGCATATGAGACCTCAAAGCCCATGTCCACCATGTCACATTTCCTCCAAGGCCACACTTACTCCAACAAGGCCTAATAGTGCCATTTCCTGTGGGCCAGGCATTCAAACACATTTGTCTACGGGGGCCATAACTATTCAAACCATCACACCTGGTTTCAGAGTTTTTGTTGAGAAATCTGGTATTATTCAGATGTTGTCTGCCTTGGCAAGTGAGTTGGCTTTTTCAATACAGTATTCTGAAGGTGGGGTTTAAATGACTCCGCCAGACCATGCACACAGATATATGTACACATAGTCACACACACACACACTTGCAGATACACAGAGACACACACATATACATAAAGAGAAATTCACAGATACTCAGACACATACACAGACACACCCCCATATATATATATATATATATATATATATATACACACACATGCATATACACACAGACAGACACATATACACATAGACATACACACACATGCACGCACACAGACACACACACAAGCACACACATGCATGTGCATATATACATGTGCATTAGCAAATACAGATTAAACAAAGAAAGTGTTAAGTTAAAATATATTTAAATATTGTCTCCATTGGCTCAGTTGCACAGGCAGGACTGGATACTCTCTCCTGCCAGTCTCCCCTCTGTATCTTGTTGGCCCGTGTTCTCTATGAACAGCTGGAGATAGTCACCTCTTATTTTCCTTTATAGCACACAGTTAGGCCAGTGGGAATGGTTTGACACTGAGACCAATTGGAAATGTCTCCCTGTTTGCTAGTACAAGGCAGAGCGGAGCCTGTATGCCTTTAGCTGGGATTCCTAGTAGGAAGATGGTCTCAATGTCATCCAGGGCTGAGCTGAGCTCAACTTGCTGGGCATGTTGTTTTCGTATGCCTCCTTGGTGCACACGCAGGCTCAAACAACAGGCCGTCACAATTGGAGGGATGCTGCAGATTCTGCTCTCGGAATACTCATCTCTGAGTCCTGGTGTCTGCCACCATGTGCGTACTTGCTGGTGTCTGACCAGCTCTAGCTGCAGTCTTAAAGGGAAAGCCAGTCCTACTCCACTCTGTGACAGACATGAATCCCACTGTGTGTCTTTTCAAGGCACGTTTGACTAGTGCTTCTCTTCACCACCAGGCAAACACTGATGAGGACAGTGTAGCAAAACTTGCTGTGAGTTGCAGGGAACAGAAAACCATGTGCTGTTCATCAGTCCAGCTCCTGGTTGCAGCATGCTGCCTATGCCAAGACACCCAGAGTGTTTCCCTTGTGCCATCGTACTCTGCAGCTCTCAGATCCGCTGAGTTCGGGCTGCCTTGCTGTATCCATTCCCATCTCAAGCCTGCCATTCTTTTCTCTCCTTCTTCCCGGTTACTCCTCCCTCTGCTGTGCAGCTTGGATGACTGAGGGTCCGTGATTTTGGCTCTCTGTTTTATAACCAGACTCACCTTTCCTGTGATTGTCCGGTATTGAGCTTCCATGTGTTTGCTTAGTCCCCCGCCTTAGTGTCCTGACTGTACCTTCTCCAAACCCCTGAGAAGTTAGAAGCCTTAGAGTTAGGGTTCCATAGGCTGGGTAGGAAGCTGGACATAAGACATATGGCTTCATAGATTTTCTGTATTAAGATTCTAAGTGGCCCACAGGACTCTCGGCATGGAAGCAGAAGGATCATGAATTCGGGGTCTCCTGGGCCACACAGTAATAACATGTTGGATACAGGTTCAGGGTGGCAGGATTATATGTATCAACATCACTGTAGACAAAATGCAGAGTCCAGCCACAGAATGGGGATCTGTGCAATCAGCAAAACATCATTGTCCGGAGTACAGAAAGGAGGGATGGACAAAATGAACGAAGGGGTGAATGAATGAAGAGTTCATAAGGAAATCATGGATGAACTCTTTGAAAGCATGTTAAAGTCCAGCTTCCCAATCTAATATCGTTATTCTAATTGGGTGTAGTGTCAAACTGCCATTCAGTTACTATTTCCAAGCCTGTATTTTAGTGCAGTTCTCAGATCAGATAAAGAAGCTCATTTGTATACTAAATCGTAAATAATGAAGAAACGCACAATTTGTCAAGCGCAGAATGCTCAGCCACGGGTGGGACACCTGTGCCATTCTCACCATGCCAGGCACAGGTACCATTGTGGAAGACAGGGCAGAAAGACTAAGAGCTAGAGGCCAAGGGACACCGGAGCAAAACAGCATCTCCTGGACATGACTGGAACACTAAGTTGTCACCGCAGCTGTGGGGGCCTACATGAGAATTGCATGAGATCAAGCCAGTCTCGCTGACCCCAACCCCTAGCTGAGGACCTATTGACAGTTGACTGCTTCTGGAGAAGGGAGACTGAGTTTTCTTCAAGGGTGTGGCACTTAGAAGGTCAACCATTCCAGTGGATGGCTCCATAGCCTTAAGTTTATTGGCAGCCAAATTGGACTTGGCAGGTTATTTTTTTTTTTTAAATAAAGAGGGTATGAAGTTAAGAAGAGGGCTTAGGTGTGAGTTCAGTTAGGGGAGGAATGCATTGTATGTATGAGTAAAATTACTAAAGAATTACTACAAATATTACACTTTAAAATTAAGCTTCTAAACTACATAGTAAATTCCTTTATCAAACAGTTACTTTATTTTGACAAGCTATCATATGTAATTATTAGTCACGCCATGATGACATGTTATAGATATCCCAAATATGGATATATTTATTCATCACCTGAAATATGTCCCATTCATTCCCACTGTCTGATTGCAGCCTTGAAGCTTTGTGTAACATCTCCTTTCCCCTGTGCCCCTCCCAGCTTCCAAAAGCTACTCTTCTATTCTGCTTTAATGAATCCTGTTATTTTTAAATCCCACATATCAGTGGCGTAAAATGTTCTATATTAAATTGTGAAGAAATCTCAGTGGCTGATATTTTGTCATGAAACTCTGTAGGACCAGTCCTTTCCTGAACATGAAAATGGCTTTCAGGTTGGAATGAGACTAGAAGGCATTGATCCCCGGTGTCCATCTGTGTTTTGTGCACTTTCTGTAGCTGAGGTAAGAGGGGATGCTGTTGCCTCAGGCTGGTTTTTGTGGTGTCAGTTTCATAGAAAATAACAAATTTCAGCAATTTCTCTGAAAAGTGAATCACACTCCATTGTTTTGGTCAATAATTGTATAAAAACCCTACTTCTAAAATAATTTTTTCTTAAGATGAATTTTCTAGTAAGTTTCTTCATCAACTAGTGTTTATCAGTTAACTGAAAAATAGATCTTACCTAAAGTTGATAATGATCTAAGAATGCCACAGAGCTATTTCCACCTATTACAGTGACATAATTATTCTTAGGTTGGCTGAACTAACAGATACATATTCAATACACTCAATTTATGAAAATTGTACACAGAGAACTGCCATTCATGAAAACAAATGGATTTTAAAACGTAATGTTTATTCAACATGTTATTAAATAAATAAAAGATCTCTAAACTTACAAAAGCATCAAACTAAGAAATCATAGTCACATGTTCTATGAGATGCTAATGGCTATTAGACTTGCACAGAATGTCTGGAGGAAGTATTTCTCAGACTGTCCTTCTTTTCTGTGTTACATACACTGTCTCTGTGTGTTAAGGTCATTCGGTATCTCGGGCTCAACTCTTTTGAGGTAGGAATTAAGCCCACCAGCAGACAATAACTTTTTAAAAAGGAATATTTGGTAGGTACTGAATTAACAGTCATTAATTGTCAGTTGTTTTGACCCTACATTCCTAGATTTGTCTAAAGGATCTATTTTTGCAGGAAGCTCTAAGTCCCCCTCATCATCATTTGATTTAGTCATGTCTCATGTCACATGTACATTTGTTCTCTAATGAAAATGTTTGGACCAATAGATGGGTCAGTTCTTGTTGATGATGCCAAATAAACATTTGAATATTTTTGCCAGTATTTGAGCCCACTTCAGTCACATGACACGTCATGAACCATTGTGAACTTCCTGCGTTTCAGGTGTGTGGTTACCGGCTGAGACTGCATTTTGATGGTTATTTGAGCTGCTATGATTTTTGGACCAATGCTGGTTCCCCGGACATTCACCCAGTGGGGTGGTGCGAAAAGACCAACCGCGAATTGCACATTCCGAAGGGTAAGCCGGGGAGCATTTATAAGAGGGAGGGAGGGGCACTTGTTATTTTGGGTTTATTTTAACACCATTTCATGAAACAAGGGAGCTGGGTGTGAATTGATTTTCCAAATGAAAGTTTGATCTCTGAAGAGAATAAGACCATGACAGTGCAAAAAAAAAAGCCCGTATGTCTTTCTAAATCAAATACTCTGACTAGGAATTTGTGGTAAAAGAAAATATAATTGTTTGAGAGCGACTAATTGTATATCAAGTCTACTAATCCTCATAACAAGAGATTGATGTTCAAAATCATGTTTGAAATGAAATATCACACTGGGAAGAACCTTGATTTACTCTAATTTGGAAATAATGGAAGGAATGAGACTATAAAATGCCACAGTCAGTTTTGTTCTGATGGGAAACGAAGTTTTGTGCTTTTCTTCTGTTTCCTGTGAGACTCGTGGGGCAGGCAGTGAAGGCCAGTCCTTTATTACCATGAGGTGCCATGGTCCGGGTTCTTGGTCCTGCATAGTTCCTGCTTGGGAGTTAGGTTGCTGAGAAACTGCTACATGTTTTGGACTTAGTGTGCAGTCCCCCTCTTCTCAGGACTCAGCTCGGGTCCACTTGCCATATGCCTGCACCTGAGGCCGTCCTTTGAGTGGCGAGAGCTGGCAACCGTCAGTGGGCTCATTCATGCAATAGGCATTATGGAGCCTTTAGTGTGTACTGGTACTTGGTACTGAACAGCAGAAGATATCAAGCTTTGGGCTCTATGGGGCTGTCCTTCAGAGGAGAGGACTGAGTACGGCCCCAGGGCACTCCTTCCATTGATGTTGTAGCCCTCTCTGAAGCCACAGGACCCAAGAGACTTTGGTAAAATGAGAAAACATCTTGGCCCCCAGGCAAGAACAGAAGCCTGAGTTGATGTCCCCAGAGTGGGCGGGGTATTTGGCCAGGGTGCCACCTCAGGGAGACTAGTGGAGAATCATGGTGGAAAAGAAAGTAAAGCTTAATGTGTCAATGTAGTCTTGAACTCTGCAAAGAATTTGGTGTGTGGATTCAGGAAGAAAATACTGACCCTGTGTAATGGGGGGCACTTCAGCTGTCAACGCAGAAATCACATCTCTCACCTTAAAGGGAAAGAGAGATAGTTTATTCTGGTGCCATTTTTAGTGACCGTGGCCGAGGAACACATATCCAGGTTACCCCAATGCCCTGTTTCTGTGTGGAAGCAATTTCATGATGTTTTAATACTTTTATAGAACAAAAAAAGACATAAGTAAGGCATGTTTACCATTGTATTGGTGGGTAAATCAGAGAGGCAGGTGCAGCAAGATGGGGGAAGTTCTCCAATGGGCCCAAGGTCATATCTGGTAGCATTTTTAGCTTTGGGGTTGGTGGAAGCTAGTGATCTGCTAAGTTAATAAATTCCAAAAGGATTTTACCTGTTAGTTGCACCGTTTTTGTTCTGATGCAGAGGTGGGCAAGGAATGGCTGTTACAGGTTGTTAGAACTACCCCAAGATAAGTTAACTAGCCTCTCAACCTGCAGCCCTCCAACCTTGCCTCAGTACCAAAATTCCAAGGAGGCAGTCTGTGTCCCTGCATATATTATGGAAACTACACTCAACAGCCTTGAACTTAAGACATTTAAACAACATAAAGACAACTTAGAGATTTTAATACAAATCACTTGTGATGAGTTGAGGAGTTACTGAATTTAAAGCAGAAGATTAAAACTAGGAATTGTAATATATTTAAAATATATGCGATGATGTCTTGTGGGTATTTTGAATAGTGTGTACTTTTCTAGGTTATAGAAAAGATAAGATTGTTTGGATGGATTACTTGAAGGCCTGTAGATTGCAAAATGCTCCTAAGAAATTATTCAGAAACAGAAGTCCTGTGAGTATCTTCTCCTTCCTGTAAATCCCATTCTTCCCTGAGTTTAAGTTGCTTAAAATTTGCTTTATATGCTGTTATATTTTAATCCTAATAAATTGAAAAATGTCTTAATTGCATTTACCCTTCCTAACTTAATTTATCACAGTCTCCCCTGGGCATATAGATTTTTATTTTGTTTTGCTTTTTTCTCCTTTAGCATTGCAATTAAACACAGAACACTTAATTTAAATCAAGTGTGCTAAAACTTATTTTAAAATATCTTTTATGGATTTTTTGCTTGCAAGACGTTAGTGTCTTAAGCTTACTTTTGGCGTGTAGACACTCCAGACAAACTCTGTCACTTGTGTAGCACAGTTGCATGGTGAAAACCAAAGAATTTCCGCAGATTCAGGGATGCTGCACTGGATTTGTCTAGAGTAGACTCCTGCTCCTGCTCCCACATCCCAAGCAACTCAGTGAACCTTCTTCAGTGGAGAATGCACATTAAATGCTCAGCCATTTGACAGAGCAGAAGCTGGGACTGGGCTCTGCCCCCTAGGGACCCTCTCCCTGCTCTGCCTGGTGTCCCAGCTGGGCCCTACCCATTGAGGGTCATGTACCTAGTGCACTTCTTACTAAGATAAGTTTCACTTTCCCCATCTTGATATTAATATTATATGCCCCTCATAGATTTGTATGTCAACGAAATGGACTTTACTGATAGGAGATTGCCTTAAAAATAGAATCCACTAGAAGATAAAAGAGATAGACAAAAGAATCCTTCTTCCAGTCCCCAGTATGTATGTATCTTAAAGCTCCAAGGCTGGCTAATTATCACTATTTCATATAAAAGATAGGGTTATATTAGCCATAATCTGTATTTTCTGCCAGGAATACGTAGGCATTAAAATCATTTGTATCTATAATTTTAACAACACAATACATTCTTTAAGCTTTGAGGAAAGTACTAGTTTTGAATCCCATTATCAAATTAAACATTTGTGTGTGTGTGTGTGTGTGTGTGTGTGTGTGTGAGAGAGAGAGAGAGAGAGAGAGAGAGAGAGAGAGAGAGAGAGAGAGACAGAGACAGAGACAGAGAGAGAGGAGAGAGAGAGCGCTAGAGAACAAACCTTCATCACTTTTCAAATGGTGGTATTTGGAAATGTCATTAGCCTATGGGGAGTAGATGACACATTTGTCATTTGATGTAACTGTGTTCAGTAAACACTGAATCTTAGAATCCATTTCACATCTAAGAACGGAACAGGAAAAAATGAAGATGATAAGGAAAGACTATCTCCTTATATAAATAAAGTTGAAACCAGTGGGAAGCTGGTGTCCTTGTTACAAATGGAGGAGCCTTTGCCTGCTCCCTTCCTGAGTCAGGTGAGCAAGTGTTGCTATCGTGTAGACCTTGCTAGTTATTAAATGCCATAGAACTTCCCATGGTGGTTCAGTCCCATTGGCTGACTGTGTGGTTCTGTGTCTTTCCCCTGTTAGAATGGGCCAGTGCCAAAGGAGTTCCAGGTCGGGATGAAGCTAGAGGCTGTGGACAGAAGGAACCCTTGCTTGGTGTGTGTGGCCACCATCGCGGACATTGTGGAAGACCGCATACGAGTGCATTTTGACAACTGGGATGAAGGCCTTGATTACTGGTGAGACATCTGTATGCATGAGCTTTGCCTGCATCCATATTTAGTTCTCAGAATTAATCTTTCCAGTGCTGTGACTGTTTTTATGGTTACTCACATCAGGAATTCATCAGTTGACTTTTCGCCACCTCTCTTCCACATGGATTCCCGAGTTAAAGAGCACCTCCTCTGCTCCCTGTTTTCCCCACCCTATGTGTAGTTACTCAGTGATGTCCCTCCTGAAGCAACGGAAACAGCTCAGGGCTTGCAATTGCTCTTATATTTTATCTCATTTGTATATTTTATTTGTATATTTATATTTTATCTCATTTGGAATTATATTTGAGAAGAGGAACTTATGAAGATGCAGGGTTGATTTTTTTTTGTGTGTGTGGAGGTGTAGGATCTGAAAATTATTGAACTTAACCTTGCACACAAAAGATCTAAGGAGAATGGGAGTGAGTGATTTGAAAGCCTGTGGGAGTAGAGGGCATTGTGCTGCGGGGCCATTAAAGTGACTTTGAACAAGTTGGAAGGGCTTACTGGGCAAAAACCTGAAATATGTAATAAGTAGTGGCAAAAATAAGTTTTTTGTCATATTTCTTGTGTGTGTCCTGAAGAGCTGACAAATCCCTGCCTAAGCTGTGCTCTGCAAGTACCCGATGAAGGTCTGGTTTTCTCTGTTGAACCAAGGAGCAGGACATAGAGTAGTTGTTGCCTGTGTCTTAGACATAATATTGAAGGTCCTTGGAAAAGTAAAAGGAAGAAGGACGTAGCTATCTTGGATGTGGCTGATTTGATGGTCTTGTTCACATCTGGAATTTCCTACAAATAGTTGACCTTGTAAGCAGTAAGAATGGATGGAAGACTGGTTAAGACATTGACCCAAGGATCACCTGCAGTTGCTTTGTGTTAGCCCCACCCCGGTTTATTCTGTAGTTTGAAATTAAAGGAAGTTGTGAAAGTAAGAAGTTTTGTCTCCCACTGTAAAGTGATGTGCTTGAAGTTGTTTCTAGCTTTTGGTAACTATGAAGTGCTGTTCCCCGTGGGACCTCTATGTCCAGTGTGGCCATCACTCTTTGAGGTGGCTCAGTGGGAGCTGCAGTGGTTGTTATGCTGTGTGCTGAACATTCAGGCCAGAATAAGGGGAAGCTGTAATGGCCCGGCTCGCTTCTGTGGTCCTCCATCTGCCAGTTATACCCCACACTCAAAGGTTTTGCTAACCTTTAAAATTAGTCATGTAGGTGAGCACCAAGTACTAAGTGTGTAGGGGACATTTCACCAAATTCTTCCCTTGACACCGAGTACTGTGAGTGTAAGCACAGAATCCTGTTTTTGCAGGTGTGATGTCGACAGTCCTCATGTCCAGCCGGTTGGTTGGTGTCAGGAGAATGGAAGAACTCTGGTAGCACCCCAAGGTGAGTGGTGTTCTTTGAAGTCATCTTTGTGTGAGTAGACATTCCCTGTTTTCCATTATGGTAACAATATTTCATTGCATGGTGAGGGGATAAAAATACTTGGAAATGCCATCGGTCACTGAGAGTGTCTAAAGCCTGCATGGGCTGTGTTTAGAGTGTATTGGGCAGTATTAAAAAGCTTAAACAATTTTTTAGCTCACTCAGCGACCACCTCTGCTGAGGAAGGGTATTTGAATTAGCTTTTTCCAGGTATATATCTTATAACTGGATTTGTTAATCAAATCATAAGGTTATTAAATGTCTTTTACTTTGGAGCTATATGTAAAAGTATTAAAATTTGGAAAGTAAGGCTTAATATGTGCCCTGATGTGCCAGACACCTTTCAACGAGCCAGCCTCATGGCTCACCCAGAGATATAAATGAGCTCTCTTCCCAGGTACTGTCTTAAATTGCAGAAATAATGGGAAATATTTAGAGACTTCCTATATAACATCTCTCTGTTTTCAGATTTAACATTGAGTATTTATGGTAGCAGGTAGCATTGTGGTAGAGGGCTTATCTGGCATGCTGAAGATTGTGGGTTCAATCCCCAGTATTAGGCCAGAGTGGAAAAATAAGGAACTGACTAGACAGAATTAACTTTTAGCATCTGTAATACAAACAATGATGGAGAAATCTGTTTTCTTTCAACACACAACATAGAAGAATAAATGTAGAAATCAGGGTATAGCATCGACAGTGTAGCAGCTGTTTGGTTTTTAGCATAAATCATTATGGGCTTTTATAGATTTTTAAGTCCTAAACAAACATGGAGGAGGAGTAGATTGGGGAGTTGGAACAGAGGAGGGCTTTGGGGTGAGAGAATAGGAGAGGAGGAAGGGGAAACTGGCTGGGCTGTAAATCAAACAAATGAACAAATAAATAAGTAGATAGATAAGAGAATAAAATTTTAATAAAAATAGATTTATTAAAAACAAAATTCAAAGCATTTTTAATATTATTGTACAAAGTAAAGGATGTTTCATGGACATTTCCAAATGTGCATATAGTATATTTATGTCACACCCATCCCATTATTTTGTCTTCTTTTTAATTGAAAATATATTTTTTCTGCAATATATTCTGATTATGGTTTCCCTTCCCCCAGCTACTCCCAGATGTTCTCCACATATCCCCACCTACCCAAATCTCCACGCTTCTGTTTTCTTTCTTATTAGAATACAAATATAATTATAAAAATACTAAAACAAAAAGCCAGAATAAGGAAAAGCAAGACAATAAGCAGAAAAAAGCCAAAAAGACTCTAGTCCTCATCCTGGGTCACTTGGCTCAGCCTTAATGCATGGGGAGGTGCTTAATATGACTACAACTTTATATGTCATGTTTATTGATAATGATGGGAGACCTTACCTTTCCTGAACAGAAACTATGAATGCTATCCAGTAGAGGTGGGGCTTCCAGTTCAGTAATAGTTAGATCCAGCCATCCCATTGTTGAACATATACAAAAAGGACTCTCCATCTCACTTCAGAGATACTTCCTCATCCATATTTATTGCTTCTCTATTCATAATAGTCAGAAACTGGACATATGCAGGTTGCCCATCAACTGGCAAGCAGATAATGAAAATGTGGTACATTTACACTATGGAATATTATTCAGTTACTAAGAAAAACAGTTGTGAAGTTTTCGTGTAGATGTATCTAGCTATAAACAATTACCCTGCATGAATTAACCCAGACCAAGAAAGACACACATTGAGTATTTTCTCTTATATGTGGGTGTTAACTTTTGAATGTCAGAGATGTGAGTTCCATTTGGAACCAAGGTTGCACTGCATAGCTAGTAAAGGGCTTGCGAGAGAAATTTCCATGGAAGTAGAAATATAATACAGTGTAATATGGGTATAAAAGGAAAGCAGAAGAGGGGGTTAAAAGGAATAAGATGTTGATAGAGGTTCTTCCCTGCCTGGTCCCATAGCCGTCTAGCCCCAAATAAACACACAGAGAAATATATTAACTATAAAACTGTTGGCCGGTGTCTAGGGCTTCTTATCCATCTTAATTATTAACCCATAACTACTAATCTATGTATTGACTGTTACTCCTTTGCTGGCCTACTTGGTGACTGTCTCCAGATCTTCCTCTGACTACTTTTCCCAGAATTCTCCTCTTCTCCTCATTTTGTCTATCTTTCTGTGTCTTTGGCCAAACAATGTTTTATTCATCAACCAGTAAGAGAAACATATATACAGAAGGATGTCTCCCATCAATAAGGGGTGGAAAGGCAGGGTAGATGAGGGAATATGGGGAGGGATAACTAACACCAAAGGCCTTTTGCAAAACCCACTAATGTAGAATCTTCCTAATATAATACATATATTACAGCAATTTAAATAGAATCATAATATAATTGGGGGAGACAGCACTCCAACCAGACACCATAAGGTACCAAATAAAATCCCATTGCCTGGAATAGATGATATCTTTTTGAGTTGTTGACCAAAGGTGTGCCAGAGGCCACCCTACACACTGTAGCTATAGGCAGTGCTGCTGCCAACTATGCCCCACACCTTGGTGGAAAGAGACTATTTCAGAAGACACCACAGACTTGACAGATAATCTAGTTTGTCTCTTTAATTCATTGGTTTTATTGTTGTTTTGGTGTAAAAGAATTTTAGTTGCCAATTCTTGCTTTTGTTTCTGGAACTCGTGGGGCCCTATTAAAAATGTCACTGAACTTATTCACTGATGGTGGGAGTGGAAGCTAGGATGGCCACTATGGAAATCAGTGTGGAGGTTTCTCCAAGGGATATATAAATAGACCTATATGGTCCACCATACTCCCCAGAGGACTCTACCTTAAGGATACTACTCTATTCACAATAGCCAGGAATGGAAACAAACTAGGTGTCCACCAGCAGATGAATGGATCATGAAAACGTGGTCATGTGCATAATGAAATATTATTCCTCAGTAAAGAAAAATGAAATCACAGGTAGACGAAGCTTGAAATAATCATTCTAAATGGGGTGACCCAGAACCTTAAAGACAAGTGCTTCCTGGTGTTTTCTTTCAGATGAGCATGCTAGCTTTGAACCTTTAGATGTGTGTTTAAATTGGAGTACCTATTGAGTCTGAAAACTAAGTAAAGGGCCATGAGTGGGATTTCATGGAAAAGGAGATTGAGTTTAGGGGGTGTAAGAGTAAAAAGGGAATAATGGAATAGTAAGGCTTAAGAGGAGTGGAAGATGGGGACACAGGGTAGGGGGGAGTGCAGGCAAGGGTAACTTGCACTAAAGTCCTTTGAAAATGCCTGATGGAAGCCTACTGCTATAGAAGCTTTCTGATATAAGAATTGCCTTCCTAGGATCATATATTTGAGTGCATGGTCTCTAGGGAGTAGCACTAATTGAAAGGATTAGAAGGACCAGGAGGTGTGGACTTGTTGGAGGAAATGTGTCACTGGGGATGAGATTTGAGGTTTCAAAAGCCCATACCTACCCGAGACTTTCTCCACCTGTGGATCATGATATAGCTCTCTGCTATTTCAGTAAAACCTGTCTACATGCCACAATGCTCTCCTCCATGATGACAATGGACCAAACATATGAAACTGTAAGCCAAGACCAATTACAGGCTTTCTTTTGTAAGAGTTGCCTTGGTTATGATGTCTCTCCACAGAATGAGAAAAAATGACTAAACACCCACACATACACACACACTAGGGGATATAAATTGAGTTTACCTATGAAGAGGTTATGCCTCTCCTAGACACCACAGGGAGACGAAATTAAAGCCCACTGGCAGATATAGGCTACTTTTCAAGTTGTTGATCAGTGGGGGTTACCTAGATTTCCCCCAATGTTGCATGTTAGTGTCATTGTTTTTCTTTGCCCACAGAACTTGATATTATGTCCTAGGACAAGAGAAATCATAAGTCCCATCCCACATGGAGGGATACTCCCTGAGACTAGACACAAGGGATTGGCCTAGGCCCTATCCCAAAGAATAAGACAGACTTTGAAGACCCCCTATGGAAGGCCTCACCCTCCCTTGGGAGCAGAAAGGGTATGGGATAGGTAGGGCGTTAGTTGTGGGGGGGGCAGGGGAGGAGGGGAAGAAAAGGGATCTGTGATTGACATGTAAAATAATTTTCTTTCTAATTAAAATAAGAAGAAAGAAAGAGAGAGAGAAAGAAAGAAGAGAGGGAGGGGGAAGAAAGGAAGGGAAAGATTAATTAAATTTAGCTACTTACAAACCTGCATGGTCTTATACATAAAGTATAATAAAGGCATAAAATAGTTGGTAAAAGAGAGAGAGAGAAATCATAAGCCACTATCATCCCAGAAGCAAAATCAGCCAGTGTCATCCAGGAAGCTTCATTCTAGTGTTGGTTGGTGCCATGTGTACCCCCATGGAAGAGAAGTTATCAGTAGTCTTACCCTGATGGGGAATGTCCTTCTGTATATGTTTATCTTATTGGTTGTTGAATAAAGTACTGTTGCCCAATGAAAAAGCAGGTTAGGCGGGACTAGGGGGCAATGAGGATTCTGGGAAATGTAGGAAAAGGAAGTCTTGTGATACAGGCAGGAAGTGACAGAGCAAGCAGACTCATATATATGCAAGGGCAAGAAGGATGTCATTCCTTTTTCTCTTCCTCCTCCTCTCTGCTCTGGAGCTGCCATGTGATTCTGGGAAGAGAAGACACCTGCAGCTGGCATCCGATAAGTCTTATGATTATGGTTAATAATTAAGACTGAGCTAGCATATAAGAAATCCTGGTCAGCCGGGCATTGGTGGCGCACACCTTTAATCCCAGTACTCGGGAGGCAGGGACAGGTAGAGCTCTGTGAATTCGAGACCAGCCTGGTCTATTAGAGCTAGTTCCAGGACAGCCTCCAAAGCCACAGAGAAACCCTGTCTCAAAAAACAAAACAAACAAACAAAAAAAAAAAACACTCACTCTGGAGACCAGGCTGGCCTAGAACTCATAGAAAT